TTGTAATCTAGAAACGGTTACATTTCAATAAAGTGTGGTTTTATTTATTATATTTTTAATAATTTCCAAAGCAAAAATTCTTATAAATAACAAAATGAACTTGTATTTAATGTACACTTTTGTGCCGCGAGTGTCGTAAATATTAGTTAACTTCCAATCCATGAATATAATTAGATGACTTTAATAGGGATCATTTTAACCATGTGGTGGTGTAAGAATATCCACTAGTCCATATTGTCCCGTGGGTGTTGTAAGAGGCGACAGAAGGTAACTAAAATGAGATGGGCAGCACCATCTTTCTGATAACTGCTCAAAATAATAAAAAACCCTCAACCAAGCGTGGTAACTATGGCAAAATTCCCCCCATGATCAATGTATGGGAGAGGCCTGTGTACAGCAGTGGACTTTTATAGGCTGTACTGGATGGATGGGTAGATGGAATAATGAGTCGTGTTGAAGGTGGTGCAAGTTCTAATATTATTGTCGAGGGTCACGTGATTTTGTATTCAGAGTATTTAACTAATAAACTTCGCGTTGAAAATGCTAATAGGATTTGAGTTGAGAAACGTAATTAGAAATTAAAATTTAATAGTCCCCTGAAGTTACATTTTAGATTATGATTACATTGTGTAAGCCTAGGTAAGGTGAGTGCTTCCGTGTAAGATTGTAAACTGGGTACATATCACACACACGGGCGAAATATCATCGGAAATTTCGAAAAAACTAAAGTTAAAATATGTAATAAAAATGATGTGCTTAGCTAAATATTACAACGATAAAAATCTATCAAAACAAAAATAAAATAAAAAGTCAAGAACTGGGTTCTACGTAAAAGAGAGAGATGGGGGCGTCACAAGTTTTTTCGTCTGGGCCAACAAAATAGGCCAAGCACCGCATATACTATTGTAAAATCACAGTACGTGCGAATTACCTTACAAATTGTTTTACCTCTTTGACTTTTACTTTTATGAATAATCAAAATAGCTTAGTAGAGATTAGTAATATCGGAACTTATTAATGATTAGTAGTAGTTATTCAACGTATGAAAGTAATAAATTTTAGTCACATATGTAATAAATAGACTTTTGATGATTAAATTTTATATTTTTGATTAGGATGTAGAAGAAGTAGCTTTACTTGTAATAAAGATAATTAGAATCTTTACTTAAATATATCTTAGTAAAATTTTATATGAAATATTTTTTAATTAATTAATTATCAAACGAATTACCTTGTATGCGAAGTTCGATTGCGATTGTGTGATATGCAACGTTCGAGGAGCACACAAAACCCACCCTAACCTAATATGAATCCTTTCATAGATACGATTTCCCTAAAAATGTGAAATAAATACCTAATTATCTCTGAACTAAATGACAACAATAAATTAGAGTGTGGATAGCGTTACGTTTTTGTTTTTTCTTTAGCTCTGAAATTCGTGGCAATGGTGAAGCGTGGTGTCGCACTACTACAGAAACTAATGTAATCCGAAGAACAATACGACACAAATACATAAAAAAGTAATTTAAATTTATATATAAACTGTATCTTTTATGAAATTTACTAAAACAAGAAAAACCGTCTCGAAGTGAACTAGGCCGGTGAAATACCAAGGCGCTGCTAAATGAAATATTAAACGAATTAGATATTAATTTCTATTTACACAGACATCAACGAAATATAATTAATTACTTGACGTACTTGCGCGGCATATTGTAGTTGATAAAGGCTCTATTAAGTTTTGAAATTAGTTTCGTGGCAACGTACTTCCCGAAGTGACGCAGGCCTTCATTGAGTCAAAGCCACGATCCACGACCAGCGACCACACAGCTCAGTGGCAGTGTGATCTACTCACGGCGCACACGCGCTATCATGAACCAAAAAATCTATCCCTCGCGCTATAAAACGTAATTTTTGCGGTGCCGGTAAAATTCTAACCTCAAACATAGAATATGGACACGACGTCAAAGGCGCATCAACTCCGTCCCAGCTGACGTTATATCCAACGTGTGAGTGCGGATTTTATTTGTATTGTGACATTCGAAATGGATACAGTTTCGCCTTTGCATGTGAGTTAAATCGTTGAGGTTAGGTAATACATAATATCTGTATACATTAATTTAAGACGGTACAATGATAAAACTTTTGTGTTGGCAGTATTATCAAAACACATTATTTTCTTTTTTCTACCTGTTTTAATTTTTTTTTCAAAAGATGATTCATTTACTTCGTTAAATATTTTCAAATCTTTTAATTTTTTTATTTAATTTAAAGCTAGCGTTTTGCGTTTTTTTATTGCCTTGACTGTTAACATCCATATGAACACTGAACACGTTTTTTGTGTCTAACAAAGTCGGTTTAAGTGCCTTATATAGAGAGTAAGGAGGATACAGTACCAAACGAGTTGTGTCTATACCCCTTCAATACTACAGATGAATACAGTTTTTGCGTTAATTGAATAGAGTTTTTATTAGCCTGCATCGCCATTAGGACGACATAAATTACTTCAAGGTACGGTGTACTCAGACTAATGGGCAATTTAAGTTAATCGGTATACGACATCTAGTTTATAACAAGACTCACGTAGTCATTGTTGATTTATGCTAAAAATTGCATTAGTCTCTTCCATAATACCAATGCTTTCTTCACGAATATGGAATGATATTTTTTTGAATCTTTATTGTTTGATAAATTTGATAATTGATGACTAATAAGTGTTAATGGTAAAAAGATATAAAATTAAAAAAAATCGTTTAATAATGAAATTGTCAAATTTGTAAAAATAAAACATAAATTACGTGTTAAGAACAACTAACGGTTTTAATGGAACATAATAGAAATTATATTAGAACCAATTTTATGTTATATTAATGCAAAGGATGAAAAATACATAGACGTTTAAGAATTAATGCTCTAAGATGATTAAGTAGACATAGCTCTTATTCAAATGGATCATATGCTAGGTACGTATATTTGTCACCGTATAAAATTACGAGCAATGTTTTCACTACAACAGGTTATTAGTGTTCAAAACGAGAAATAGAGCCGCGATAGCCGAAGGCTTCGCGTTTATTTTAAATTTTCACCGGTGTGCATACCGATGAAGAAAAATAAAAAAATAAAAAGTACTGGGTTCTACGTAAAAGAGAGAGATGCCCCCATCTCCCCACAAGTTTTTTCGCCTGGGCCACTAAAATAGGCCAAGCACCGCATATACTATTGTAAAATCACAGTACGTGCGAATTACCTTACAGATTGTTTTACATGTTTGACTCTTACTTTTATGAATAATCAATGATTATTCATAAAAGTAAGAATTTTGTCGATTTGCAATGGACTAGCGTTGCAGATCTTATACTATACTCACTTTATATTATATCATTTTTTTTAAATATTTCTTATAAAAATGCTACAATTGATAAAGAGTAATATGAATTCAACTACTCATACGAATTGCGACGGCATGTTTCAAATACTGTTGTTAAAATTTATTCCATTCGTAATATTCCACCTAGACATTTCCGCATACTTCACGTAGATTTGGAATATCCAAATTTATTTATTCATTTATTCATGTGCACGCAACTTATATCAATCAGTCTTATTAAAAAAAAAAGAGTTATAGCCTACTATTGAAATTTAACGTGACCGGATGCTGATTGCATTTTTTATGAAATTGAACTGACAATTGAATTACAATCCAGGTGATGGTACTTAGCAACCACAGTTCATTGAAAACTGCAGCCAACTTCAAATAAAGGCTCATCTTATGTCTCATCTTTGACCTCAGAGGTGACAACGCATCTGTAACTACGATGGAATTACCTCACATATCGTAATGATACTGGCTCTCTATACTCTTCATACCGGAACACTGCAGTGGCAGAAATAGATAAGAAAGTAGCTAGATAGATGGATTTCTAGGCAAAAAACGATTCCTGCCATCGTGTGCTCAAATATTTTAAAAAATAATCATCATTTGTTTTAATTTTTTATATTTATGAACAAAACAACATTTATTACATAAAAAACGAGAGTCTTAACACGTTTGTTATGACACCATATTTCAGAATCAGAATCGGAATCTTAATAGTTTATATGTCAAACATAGGTAGGTTTACACATTAACAATTATTAGTACGCTCTGTTTTGTCTTAAACATATACAAATATAATTATGTAATTTTATTTGTTTAAGACAAGCAAATATAACTGTGTATTTTGGAAGGGACAAAATCTTTTTGGCATATCCCATAGACGTTTCTCACGACATCCATGGGACGAAATATGGTTATAAATCCGAGTATATTATTAAATGGTTTCCGATAACGGTTCAATGCGATACTTCTATTGTTAATGTTCCCACAAACAAAGCCAGAAGCGTAAATTTAATTGCAACTAACAATTACACATTATGTGGGAAATATAATCATTGTTCTTCGGTACAAAAAATGATTAACCACACAAGAAACATACTTGTCGACATTTGATTATCTACACCGACCGGTCAGACCTGAACTCATTAGAATTTTCGCGTCGGAAAACGCAATAGTTTTTACTCAGTAAGGTTGTTGGTTTTGCTACAAGATTCTATCTTTGCTTAGTGTAAGTTACATGATATTGGAAAAAATCTTCAAATTTTATCTTTATCAAGACTTCTGAAAAATATTTATTATTACATACTTCTTGCCGTGCTGAACTCTTAAAAGATTTAATATTAGAGCTCTAGTCGGAGTCATTAGTCACGTCTTAATTTAGAATTCTTTGACGCTTACATAAATAAACAAGTCTTGAAACTGAAGAGAATGTTTTGTTTGACACATCTGGCTGCACGTCAAATGGTTCACCATGACGTAAGTTAGCAGCAACATGGAAACAGGTCTAGTGAAAATATTTTGGCGGGACAGTACTCCATGTTTAAACAATAGTTAAATTATTTGCTTCCCTACATCAATATACTTGAAGCATTAGAGAATAATGAAATTTTTCGTTTGTCCACAGATGCCACAGACAGTACCACGGTCCGGGTGCAGCCCGCCATCGGCATCTCAGGACGAGAGAACAGTCCCCGCTTCACCAGCGGATCTTCATCATCTCCTGCGCATATTAGGCGCCGCCTCTCCTCCTGAACCGATGTTGCACTCCCCTCCCAATCCGCACGCGAAGCCCCCACCGCCATACCCTGAGGATAACAACAGCTTCTTAGACCGTCTGTACGATTTTGATAGTTACCCCACCCCGTCTCCTTCGTCTGATGAAGGATCGATTCCCACAGTGGCATTACAACCACCTTCCCCTTACAACTCCCTTCAATACTCAAACGTTTACGTCAAAGAAGAACCGAACAGATTGTCTGTACCTGAATTTGCATCACACTACCCTTTATCACCTTCCGGATCCTGCGTTTCGTACAGCAGTCATAATCACCATTCGTCACCAGTGTCTCACCACGAGGAATATATAGACATTGAGGAGTTATTGAAAGAGAATCAAATATTACAAGAAAGCGTACAACAAACCTATATCACACCTAAACTCGAAGTTGAAGAGCCTAGGGATCACATTCTTTTGAGGTCTGCTTTAGAAGATACATCATTCCAGAAACGACTTAACCTTAGACCTATTCCTTTGGAATTGGGCAGTGTCAAGATGGAAGATAGCAGCGGCGGTGCGAGTGGAACGGGTGATGACGCTTTAGTAGCTCCGGATATAGACCGCGTGCTTTCAATGGCAATTGAACAGTCAAAACGAGACGTAGACAATACCTGCACAGTGCTGGGAATTTCGCCAGGTGAGTCACCGATGTTGTATGCAGTTATATTAATTTGCACATCGTTTCATTATAAAATACAAGTTTCAAATTCAAAAAGTGAACATCTATTCAAAATAAAATTGAAGTGTTTCTCTGTAATACTTCTTGTATTATTATACTATTATTACATTATTATACTACTATATTCTGTGGTAATACCGAAATAACTGACCGTTATTGAGCTGATGGGGTTCTTAGCGTGCCATTAAGACAGGAATAACTATTTTTAAAATTTTTGTTTAGATTTAAAAAAAAATTAGGAACAGATAGAAAGCAATGCCAGTCGGGATTTAGGCTATATTTATCCGAAAACTTGAATTCTTTTTTTGCAAAAACGAAAAATTGATAAAATAAATGGTCTCTGATTATCTTTAATATAAATAACGTCATATTAATGGATCTTATACAGATGAAGCCGGGGCGGGTCCGTCATGAATATTATATGTTTGCATATGTGGATTGTAGATCGGAAAGACATGCAGGAAGTCGATGAATGCAGGCTACTCAGGACCGGGTTTTGTGGCAATCCTAGGCGATGGCCTTTATTCAACAGTGGACTAGAGAAGGGCTGTAATAATGATGATGATAAAGATTACATAATCAATCTGAGAAGGCTTATAAGGTCAATGACTTTACGTATTGAAAAGGTAATCATTAAATAACGTCATTAATCGTCAATACGCAAAAAATTACGTTTGCTTGAGTACGTACATCATTTTAAAAATAATTATTCTAAGAATGATTCTAACTATGTCTCATTCAAGTTGTTGATTACGTAAGACTGTTAGCATCTACCTTTTTTGATCGTCTGGTGCTAATTACTTATTAATTACTTCACACCATAAGATATTTGTTAATTTTAGAATTCAAATTTATAAAGTGAAAGTATTGTAATGTTTGTATATTGTTATAAGCAAAATTTTGCAGACTTCAAAAAAGGAGGGAGTACTCAATTCAACTGTATCATTTCTTGCATCGTCGAGATATCTTATTAATCAGTAAACCGATTATAACTTTATTTCATTGAGCTACTATGTACTACGTACTAGACCCGTCACTGCTTTCAGCTACTCCGTTCCACTCAACTGCGGTGCATACACCGCACTTTAATCAGTTACTCGCTAGGCGCTTATAGAGTTGACACGTGATGTGTTGATTTAAAAAAAATATCTCTTGATAAAAATATGTCGTCGTGTGTACGACAAGAGATTAGATATTGCACAAATAATTCAAGAAATGTCAGTAAAAACCAAGGAATTACTTTTCATCGGTTAATAAGATACTTAATCAATAAAAACGTATTATGTGTTAATAATAAAACAAATTATTCCTAAGACTTCGACGGAATATAGATTATGAAATTACTATGTTCAGATGCGACATTTCTGTGGGTACTTAAGTATAGAACGAATATATTATTATACACATTTTTTGTAGAAACATATATAAGTTATTAAAATTTGGCTAAATTTTTCATGTTTAAATCTGCTTATTATTCTTTCATTTTATTTTTAGGTTTCCACATCAAAGTCAAAGTGGAATAAATTCATCCATTTTTACTCTCGTGTGCCCAGCATTTATGAACGACTTTTATTGTAATTAAAATAAATATATTTGTAATTTAAATGTTATGTTAATAAGTTTTGTCAAACATACATTTAGTGTGTTTTTTATATTTGACTTAGATACCTTTTAAAATATTCAGATAAAAATATAATTAAAATGTAATTGTGATATAATATAATGGAATATTATATTAAACAAGCAAATATAATAAACAAAATAAATGACACTTAAATATTATTCTCGATATAATTTACCTATTTAACAATACAATCTACTATTGCGTACGGGTCATTCTACCTATGTTTATTCTATGATAAAAAAAACTAACCGCGCCAACATAGAGTAGCGCACATTTTTTGTTTGAGATAGCTGTTCTAGTACGTAAGTACATATTACTTCAATGCTTTATTTACATAAATTTCAAAAAAAATTACTAAAAGTGTTAACATAGAGGATAAAGTTTTAAATGTAAATATTTATACAATATTCTAGTTGTTACCTAGAGCTTAGGACATTACCTAGTCCATTAAAAGGGCCAAAATAATTTTACTTTTAATAAAACGTAAAAACCGACTTTAAGAAACTAAAAATAATAATAAATTAATTTCCACGTATTACCTTCTGCATTCCAAAGTTTAATTCTTCATTACACTATGTCTTGTCACCGACTTTTAGTGGACTGCTATTATTATTGCTATTATTATTTGGTGGGAGTTATTACTTCAAAAGCTATTACGCACGAGTATAGTGTATATATAGAGTATAGCGCGCGCGTTAAGACTTTAAAGTATTGTATTTTTTTGTTTGTTTTTTTTTTCAATTTTAGAAAGATCAAATTTAGATATGGAAGAACGGAGCCTCCTGACACAATTTACTTTTAATAACGTAAAAAAATACTAACACTTAATAGGTTTGGCCTTAACCTTTGATTGTAATAAAACAACTGTCATTATTATAGAAATAAACATTTTTTAATTTTTTAATCAATTTGATTGAGTATTATAAGTTATTAAAACGGGAGTTACTTTTTAATATATTTTTATTGATTCATTTTACCATATTTAATGTTTATTTATTATTTTCTTTTATAAATTTATCCAGCTCGACCAGCTGGCCTAAATTTAAAAAAATACTATTTTAAAAATACCATTTTTAAAATAGTATTTATTAAAAAATTATAATAAATACATAATTAGTGATTTTGTTAACTTATTAGTTATTTTATTATTTTTAGTTCTCAGAAGTCGACCTTTATATATTATCCAAAGTTATTTTAAAAACCTTAAACTTTGTCGCCGTTTCTCATAACCAGAGATAGTACTATTGTTAGATTTTCATGTTTTTTATAACTCAAAATTATGTATTAAGAATATCATGTTGGATTTAAAAAAAAATTCGGCAGTAAAAGAAATAGTAATAGCTGAAATTTACCAAATTTTAAGTATCAATGTAAAAAATGCTTATGTTATTTTTATCTATTAGATCCATTACAATGGAGCACCAGTGATGTGAAAGCCTGGGTTATGTTCACATTGCAACACTTCAATCTCCCTATGGTGCCTACCGAGTACTTCGCGATGGACGGAGCTGCCCTTGTCGCTCTCACTGAGGAAGAACTCAATCAGATAGCACCACAAGTAAGTTAAACACATTTTTATTTTATCAATGCTTTTAAAAGAATGATAGCTCAGTGACAATGATTTATCGAATAAAGTTGACTAACGAGCACACAGTCCACCTGATGTTAAGTGGGTGCTGTGGCCCATAGATTTTGACAGCTGTCCCCGATTAAGAATCAAAGTGCGGATAGATGCGTGGGCACTGCCAAGGGCCCAGATGGAATGCCTCGTTATCAGTAAAAGGGGTCTCCGGTTCTCTGCACTCACCACACAAAACACAGAATTAAACTGCTATTTTACTCTGATATTCTGTGAGAGCGCGTTTTTTCCCCGGTACAGCTGACCCGCTCGTCCTGCAACCATAATATAGCTGCAGCATGTCTCTACCACGTATTTCTTTCAATGAACGTTAGCAACCGGAGTTTGATTTTCGGTGTCATTGAAATATTTACTATGTTACTACATACAAATATAACTGTTCCGTGTGCAACTTTATACTTTATTTGTTGGCGATATAGTACTTAAGGCAGATTCACTAGAGTACCTAAGCACTATGCGCAATGACATCAATAGTGCTTTCCAACGGATAGATCTTAAGATGAATATGGACAAAACAAATGTCATGTGCAACGTCCATGTCACACCTATGCTGGTAGTTGTTGGGAGCATTACGCCCGAAGTTGTCGATGAGTACGTTTACCTAGGATAAATAGTCTGACTAGGTAAGTCTAACTTCGACCGAAAGGTCAATCGAAAGATTCAACTCTGGGCAGCGTTCGGGAGATTACAAGACATCAAGTCGTTAGGTATACCTCAAAATCTGAAAACAAGATTATACAATTAGTGCGTGTTGCCAGTGACGAATTATGCATATGAGACGTGTTCCTTCGCTGCTGGCCGTAGGAAGCTCCAGGTCGCTCAGCGAGCTATGCAAAGGACTATGGTTGGAATTTTTCTGCGGGACAGACTTAAAAACGAGGATATCCGTAGTAGAACCAGAATAACCGATGTAACCGAACGGATTAGTAAGCTGAAGTGGCAACGAGCCGGCCATATAGCTCGAAGAACCGATGAGGATGAAAGATTCTCGAAAGGCAGCCTTGTTCCGGTAAGCGAAGTGTTGGGTAGCCCTCCACTAAATATACTGACAACATGCACTGAAAAAGTGCAGGTGATTTAGGACCGTTCTTTGTGTTGAATTTCCTTGAGGGAGGCCCATGTTCAGCAATGGACTTATGAAGGGCTGTAATGAATGTGCAATTTGTTTTTGCCAACGCCTCTACAATACAGAAAGAATTTTTAAAGTGTCACACTTTTTATAAAAAGAAAAGTGTCGTTTCTTTTTATAAAAAGTGTATAGTTGATTAGTTTTTGTTACTTTAAAGAGTTAACTTTAAAGAACGTATTGCATCACTACGTACTTTGCACCTTATAAACGATGAGCAATTATTGAACAGTCTTTTGATATCATCAATTGATGTTTTTGTTTATATCTATATGGTAAGTGTTAAAGAAATATAGTAATGAGGTAAACAATTCATTACTAATTATTAGTAGCATTATAATAATAATTAAATAGTCAATATAAACGATGAATTATTGTTCTAATCGGCCGACCCTGAGGCCGAATGAGGGCAACCAATTTCGATACGCAGTTGACTCTTGCGTTACCGATAAGAAGACATAAACATTGTTTATATTAATAATAACAACATAGAAATCAGTGGCTACTTTGAACAATATCGTATTTTATTCAGAACGGAAACATGCAAACTTCGATTGCTAGCGAAATGCCAAAAAAACAAAAACAAATATTTTGAATCTGAAACACACGAGTAAGGATAAATATTATAGAACAAAATTTTGCATCGTATTTGTCACACAAATTTAGACATTTGTATAGCCAAGTAGTAAGAGTATTTGGTAGTACATAGATCCTACATTTAATTACATCCTGATTCAACATTTGTGTAAAAGCACCTTTGGTATTGAAATTTAATCTTATTCCAATCAAATAATTATAACTAATCTTATACTACAATATACATAAAAAAATTTGAACGATTTCTCTATATGAAATCGATGAAATTTTAAAGTAATCATACACGAGCACACAGTTCTACCTGACAGTAAGTGAATGCTGTGACGCTGTGAACTTTAAACTCCTACATCTATTCTTGAATAAGAATCAAAATGTGTTTCCGGTTCTCTATACTCACCATACAAAACAGCAACATTAAGCTGTTATTTTACACTGGTGTTATATAAGAGCCTGATCTTTCCCCGGTCGAGGCAAACCATTATCGTGCTGCAAACCTAATAGAGTCACGCTGCAAGTAGGCTCACCACATTACGCTTAGTTAAGTTACGCTTTACAAATGTTTCATTTTCATATACGTAGAAAAATAAATGGATTTTTTTTAAACTTATCTGGGTCTATATAAGCTGTCCTTAAATACATTTTAAGACGCCGAGCCTAATTCTTAATGAATACGTCACTGGCCTTACTAGCAAGTTTAGACAATTGTGTTAAAAAAATTTGTACCAAGTTTTGCTTGCATCAGTTGACCAACTTAACATGCTATTAACACAAAAGATGAAACAAAAAGGCAGTGTGAGACACGGTTAAATTATACAACGCAAAGAAAATACACAATAGTAAAAATAAAAGTAAAAATTACTTCGACGTACAGAGACTAGCTTGATGACCATATTTTGGTTGATTAAATACATTATACCTTATCCCTATATAATAGACGTTTCTTCGATCGTTATGGATAAAGGATGTCACTCACGCAGAGCACTAGTGATATTGTTATGATCACAGACCACCCAGGCTACGGGTGGTCTGTGGTTATGACCATGCTTAAAATCATTGAAAAAAATAGTTTGTAAACAGTTATAACCAGTTCCTTATCATTACATTTTATCGTTAAATACCAACTGAAGTATATCAAAACTCAACAAAATCGTAGTACGGTAAATTTCATTCAACTCGACTCAGCTAGGAGTAATAGGACAGTGTTCAGAGACAATATGGAGCTTAAATTTAAACTCTACATTATCATAATTTGAGTCTACACTATATTACATTACACGAAATTTGACGTTGTGAAGTTTGAGTTTAATCTTATGATTATCTATGTAAACTGACCATAATGTCCTGTGTAATTCAAAACTGCCCAGGCATAAGGCACCTATCTCAATATGATTAATTTTCTTTTTCTGCTATTACTCATTTATATAACCGTTCTATTACATACTAGTTAAAGGATATTATGTAACTGACATCGTTGGGTTCGCAAAGGAAATCCATTACGATAAATTTAAAACGAATATACATTATTGTGGTTTAATTTGTTTATCTGCCAGCGTTTTCAAAATCAATTTTTAAACACCGAATCAAAAAATCAATGATTATTTGATTTGGTATGAAATTTTAGAGCCTTAAAAAAGTTCCGAAAATCTCACGTTTAATGTTAAAAATTAATTATTCACTTAAATAAAAAGGATTAATTTAAGTGAATAATTAATTTATTCACCTAAATGAAAATACATAATTGGTTATTCATTTTTATAAATACTACAACTCAAGACAAATATGAAGGACTTAGGAGATAGAGTTGAACTATTAAAAGTATAGATACCGTCGCAGTCCGTAAATAAGCTTAAAACTCATTTTGCAGATAACTCAATACAAATTAGTTTTATTCGTTTATTTATCCGTTGTCGAAGCAATGTAATACTGGCCTAATCGGTCAAATGAACGAGCAATCGTTGTCATCGCACGCGCCGCTGCTTTGCGACTTTCACCAAGCGATGAAAGTCTCGCAACACAAGCGCATAGTAGTTACTGCATACAAATCCAAATACTAAAGTAATAAATCCTCAATAACAAATATTTTTTTCTGAGTATATTATGATAATCACAGACCGAATGGTAACCATGAGATAATATTCCACTTCAGTTCTGCTATTTTGTCCAGTGGGCATAGGATATACGCTGCCAGATGTAGTGCATGCATGCTGCGCAAGTGGCAACGTAAATGTAACAAAGCCAAAATTATTCAACTTTTTAGCAATAACATCCGGGGTATGCATAGACATAGCGTAAAACAATCACAGCACATTCGCGAAAATATTTATCTGTATTTGATTGAATATTTATCGAATATTTTATTTTAAACAAATATTATATATAGATATACTACTGTAGCTAATCTCAGCGCTTGTGTGGTGTTTATGAAGTTTCCGCAATTTTTTCACACTAGTAGTATTATATCAACGTTATCTATCTTTTTCAAGCACATATTTAAGCAAAGCAAGGCGTTTTCAGTAGTTCCAGCAATGGAAACGAACAACAAACTAAATGCTGCTAACGATTTACGCTGTGCACTCCTTTTAATTTAATCAAGATATGATTTTTTTTATAATGAATCCGGTACGTAAAGAAAAGCGTGGGCATTTTTGGTGGGCGGTAGAGAGGCTCTATCTTTGGAATGATATCTTTGGAAATCTCAGCCCTAAGTAATTTGACATTAAATTTGTAATGACATATTACTTGTAACACAAAATATTTCTTAGCTATTTATTTATGCTTAATTTTTTTATTTTATTTTAATTTCATTGGTTATGCTTATTTTTTTACAAAATATAAAATTTTTTATAAACGGTTATTTTTTTCCTAGGCTGGAAGCACGCTTGTATGCTCAATTGGAGATCTGGAAGGCGGCAAGACACGAAGGCTGGAGACCAACCCCTTGGCCAGAGCACGAGCAGGCTTCGCCCAAACCTACGCCAGCTGTTTTACCGTCAGCTGATGACATGAGTGACGGTGAGTACCATTTTTGTCAACCCCTTTGTTCTTCTTTTCAATCTTTAACCATTTTAGCCAACTTTAAAAAAATTTTTAAGGAAGGTTCTCAATACGAGTGTATGTTCTTTTTTGTATAAATATTACGTGATATCTTCGATTATGTTTTAGGTATGGTATCGGAGAAACAATAGCACTCAGAAGGGTGGCAAAACATGGGATAGAGATTTTAATGTAACTATTTAGAAGATATTAATATTGTGATATTTCGAAAAGCGTAAAAAGTATCTTCATAAAATAAGTAAAAGCAGATTCCAAAGAAATAAAAAAGATAATTTAGAAAGAAATTTAAAAGGAATAAATTAATTTTACATTTTAAAGTCGTAGATTTAAATTCTTTTTATTTTTAATTTTTTTTAATTTCTTATTTAAATTCAATCTGCCTTAGCACTGACTTCAAAATGCGAAGTTACTTTGTTCATTTTAGTTCCTTGTCTAATTTTAATTTCTTTAAAAGTAAATGTCTTGTACTGATGGCCGTAGGCTTTTTCAAAAAAAAAAATGTGCCACCACGTAAGAAATATAATATAACTACCCTCACTAGGGTTTACTTCACTTATGACATCCACTCAAGGTCGCTTAGCGAGCTATGGAGAGGGCTATACTTGAAGTTTCCCTGCGCGATAAACTTAGAAATGAGGATCTCCGCAGTAGAACCAGAGTGATCGGCATAGCCCTACGGATTAGTAAGCTGAAGTGGCAATGGTGGAGAGAAGGGGGGCCGGCAAAGTGTAGGGTGATTCCCCTCTAGAATGAGTGACGGTCTGGTAATACATACAGGAAGTCGATGGATGCAGGTGGCTCAGGGTCGTGCTTTGTGGGATTCCTTGGGGTAGGCTTATTGTAAGGCTTGTGAAGGGCTGTAATGATGATTATGATGATATCAACACAAATTTATAGTTAGATTGGGATCGAGGTAGTCATATAATATCTTGAAATCACCGTTACAAAGTTTACTACTTAATTATACAAGTAAAATAACCAGACTGGAGACGGGAACAGCCTCAAAAGTGCGGCCAGCGTGATATAAAAATCACAACAGTTTAGTCATAAAATATATTCTATAAAAATCATAAAATAAATGTTTAAGTTACAGACTATAATATCTATATATGCTTATTGGATTTATCAAATAATATTGTTTCTGACTTCCCACTTTAAACTACATTCTTCAGAAAACAAAACATTAAGTTATGACACCAATAAGTTCAACATAACAATATGATTTTTAATTTTATCATTTTATTTATAATTATTAATGATACGAACTTTATACTTAAATTAATAATAATATTTAAGTTATGCTGCAAAAAAGGAAATCGTTTACTCGTTTCTACACCTCAAAGTTTACTCATTGAATAAAAATTATTAAAAAGATTGGAGGAAGATATACTGACCATTAAAATAGGTTTTTTTCCGGCTTCTTCCGGCTAGGGCAGGTCGCTAGTATAAAATAATCTAAATAGAGAGGCAGAATTTACATTTTTTTAAAATAGTCTGCAATTATTTGATTTTACAAAAAAATACTCAAAGTTTTTAGACGAAAAATAGTCTAGATTACATCTGTTATTTTTTATCTGTTGGTGAAGTTTTATCACATTCGTGTTTATTTTCGAAGATTAGCCCGTACAGATATAGTACGTGGTTTATACGTGGTGGAGCCTTGCTGCAGTTATATTAATAGTATGGTTGTAGCACGAATGGGTCGGCTCAACCGGGGAAGGCCCACGCTCTCACAGAATACAAGCGTAAAATAGTAGCTTAATGCTGCTGTGTTTCTTCGTATGGTGAATGTAGAGAACCGAAGACTCTTTTTACTGGAAACGAGGCATTCCAACTTGGTCCTCACGGGTGACAACGCATCTGCATTTTGATTCGTAATCGAGGATAGATGTAGATGTCTATGGGCTACAGCAACCATTTACCATCAGGTGGACTGTGCGCTCGTTTGTCACCCTATCCCATAAAAAAAAGTACCGACAAACAAAAATTTTACATATGACTATTCACGACTTAATGACATGCAAATAAACCCCCGAGCTTGATACAAGGCTGTTATTTAGATATTAAAGACACACATTTCAATTTTATTTATTTGTATTGATTTGTAAAAATCACGTAGGGTTTTGCGTTGTAAAATTGAATCTATTTTTTTATTTGAGACGAGACATTATAATTAAAGAACGTAAAAACATCGTTACAGTAATCTAATTTTATTTCTATAGCTTAAGATAAAACTTGCCTTATTAATAAAATGAAAACCACAAAAACTTGTCGACCAACGGTCTGCACTGCGGCCGGGCAATGTGGCACATCGATGCACCAGCCTCATGCATTTTGTGATCAACCGTTAACCGACGCTACGGGCCCACATACAGACGACGTTAGAGACAAGCAAGCTAATGATGCATGTCCGAGTGTCGTACGGGTTAGAATTGTAAACATACTTTATGAGGGAATTGAAAATGCAGACAAAATGGGGTCAACCGTTCTACTAGTTACTAATCCAAATTATTCAAGAGAAGCAAGTGTTAATAACTATTAATTCTATCAATGAATGATATAACTATATAGCAATCCAGGTTTGATCCTCGCTGCCACCAATGTTGCCTGCTTGATAGTGAAAGAAAACATCTCGTTACATATTTCTATTAATCCCTACCGGGGCAGTGCAGTTTTTTTTATAGGATAGTGTGACAAACGAGCACACAGATGGTAAGTGGATGCTGTGGCAAGACACCTACATGTATCCTCGATTAAGAATCAAATGCAGATGCGTTGTCACCCGTGAGGACTAAGATGGAGTGCCTCATTTCCAGTAAAAAGGGTCATTGCTCTACAAAACTTTACTTTTACTATATTTAAAAAATACTAGACTTAAATTGCTTTGCATTTAGCTTAGATTTAACATAATACGACCAGTACCATAGATGTGTAATGAATTAAAATTAAGGCGCCAAAATAGAATTAAAATACACAATTGCACTCTAAAGGAACAGAAATTCTTTGCATGTTTAGATACAACACAGCTAGTTTTTAAAAAAAAGTGTTGAATAGTAGCACAGGAAACAGCTATCGGCAATTATCGCTTAGAGTTGCTGGCATTCCACGCGTATTGCGTATGCCATGGAGAGATTTATACTGACATGTAACTAGAGGATAACGAGATACAACTTGACAAGTGAGATTGTTTATAGGATGCGCAAAGCAATAAAAATAATTTTACAAAAGCAGCACTATTAAAAGTGTACTAGTTTAAACTCTAATATATAAAGAAAAACTTGATGAAGTTTTTATAGCAACGGCCAGTTTAATTTATCCTAATGTTTAAGGAGAGAACATTAGTAGTGCTTTAGTATCACTTTAAACAAAAACAGCGATTCTATTTGATTTAAAAAGGAAAACAAAATGTACGTAGAATTACTAAAGCAAGTATTACTAATCACTAAAAGCTACCATTTACACGTTTTTACTAATGTACTCTACTAAATCACAAAGATAAAGACAAAGATAAAGAAAACCGGGCATTAATGAATTAATATTAGTTATGTTGGTACAATCGATTAATACCAGCAACAAAACATTTAAATCATAATTTAAGGTCTACTGTTCATCATATGCCTTTACCTATTGAAAATAACCCGCTGACAAGCATTTCTTGAGATGTTACCCAACCTCAACGCTGGATATATGGGTAGGTTAATGCTAAGTGTGGAACCGACCGATGAATATTGCCCTGCGATAATTCTTCTACCCAACATACTTCTTTTTTCTCTTCTTTTTTTTTAAAAACGTTACCTCCACACTAGGATTTTTTCCTGTATCGTGGGGGCAGTTTACAAACATAAATTTCACAAGGATAAACATCCAGACCCGTAACAATTACCAGTAGGCCATACAAATACTTGTTCCGTGCGGGATTCGAACACGCGGCCCTTAGGGATGTAACTCATTGCTAAGCCACTGCGCCACGGAGCCGTCAAATAATAAAATACTGAAATTTACGTTGGTGTTTGCGTGAATTTTCAGTACCTACTGTAATAATAAAATGTGTGTGCGTCCGTGTGTATGTGACCCTTTTAAGAGCAATAGGGAATATCACAAGCTCAAGGCAACAATAAGGTTGTCGTCGAAGCAGATACATTAACAAGTGGTAAAATTAAAAAATTTGTACAACCGACTTCAATATAAATATAATGAGAACATCATCAATGTAGTCGTAGTCAATTAAGTACGCATTATTAAGGATAACTTAAAAACTATCAGATCATGTTAAAATTAATATGGATGGTCCCATTCATGAGAAAAACCAGATAGAAATAAAAAATGAATCATCAAAATCGGTTCGGCACATAAAAAATACAGTATTGAGAACCTCCTCTTTTTGATTTGATTAAAAACTTCATATTGCCTTATATTGCCATCCTTGGGTGTGCTATTTTGCAAGCCTTGAAATATAGCATATTTAAAAATGTATCATTTACGTCAAATCAAAATATCCTTCTTTTTTGAAGTCGGCTAAAAGTAATCTACTATATATTGACTTATACTTGTAAAATACCTTACTTTACAGTTATTCCATCCATCAAATCCCTGTCCTATAGATGTTCTATGGTTCCATTCACGACAGTAGTTTGAACCCGATATAAGTTTAGTTTTTGTATCGTTTCCCGGCGACCCCGATACTGGAAACTTGTACCAACGGACTCGCAAGGTCGCTTGTGTGTTGATCAAGATAGATTTGTCGCACTCTGTTAAAAGAAATCAATGACACTATCCGCACATCCATACACATAATCGGTTGTGCTAGAAATCTTGACAAGAGTTCATTGACTTTAATGTTACTTTATCTTGTTATTAAGTTTTTTATACTTATATTTTATAATATAAGTGTAAAAAGTTGAAATTCTTGAAACTTTATAGGTCACGCCAGTAAAGAATCATACAAATCGGTATTGTATTTTTAGAAAATTCGCATACGTAGCGAACGAACGTATGGGGGGAAACAGAAAAACTTTTGTGTCGGTTTCACCAATATTTTTTAAAATGATGTGGGCGCCAAAAGCACATTTTTCACGCTTTAAAAGTGCAATTTTTTGTCATTTAAAACTATGAATTCACATTTTTTAATTCATTATAAAAGTTAAAGATTTTTCTTAGTGAATTATGGTGGCCTAAACACGATCGACACATTTTGGCTCGATAGAAAAAGATCGCAGTTACCTCAAAATCTACAGTTTTAGGTACGTCCACTAAGTGAAAAAGCTGTTTCATTCGAATGTAATGAAATCAATTTCAATTAAATTCAGGCTATGTGTTCACCAGTAAATAAGTGAGTGAATTATGGGTTTATTTTTTAATAAAAGAGTACATATCATTTTAAAAATATATATCAAATAAATATTGTGCGGTTAAATAGCGCGCGGGCCGACCAAACAGTCCATATAAAGCGTGAAAAATATGGCGCCCACTTCACCTTAAGTTCTAAATTTAAAACTGAAATTGTTAAGTCTATAAATAGAACTTTAGCTAATAAAAATGATGAGCTGTGTTTATTTAATGATTTCTTATATTAACGCGAACGCTACACATTTAAAATAAAACTAAGTTTTATTTTAAGCTGTGTTTACTGTTACTTACTATTGTTAACGTTTAATATCCGTTAAATACGTGTCAATGCAGGTCAATTACCTTTAGACTGGGACAAATAATTAAGATTATTTTCTGGTTTTGTAACACTGAGAAGCAATGCTCGAATTCAAAGTTATTACAATAAAAAAACCTTACACAGGAAGTATATAAAGAACCAGCAGCCTCATGAGGAATCAGTAACAATAAGGTTACTAAACGTGGCAGTTATAGCAATTTGAATTATGACATCATCTATCAGATATTCCTATATCAATAGGTTGACACATGTCCAGACTGTGTGCTGATACTAATTAACTATGTGATTGGAGTTCTTTTACTGCCTTTGAGTCCAGTTACGTACATATAACTGCCACCAAGCAGTTGGGATTGCACTGCTTTGTTCCGATCTGAAGGGTATAGAGAACCAGTTTAGTGGCCTGTTACTACGAGACGTTCAATTTTAGTCCTCAGAGGTGACAACGCTACTGTAATCTTCTTTGTTTAAAGCTAGCAAGAGTCCATGGGCTAAAATGACCACTTACCGAAAGGTTAATTTTTAATTCTTGAGAGAAAGTTATTGAGTAAAATTGTGTATTCCAATGAAGGAAAAATAAACATAAATCGTTATAATAAACGTTAAGTTATCCTATCTTATGATTAATATTTTAATCTAATAAGCTTGACCTTACCACGTGCGCAACGACGAGTTAAAATATCGTGAGAAAACCTTTCTAAGAAATAAAATGATTTGGAACATGTAAAATATTGCTCCAAAAAAAATGTTAAGTTTGTGCCCAACAATGGGACGTATACAATAGTGACTTTGCTTTTACCCTGATAAATGTATTTTATTTTTTATTTTTTCATTGCATAGACGAAGATTCAGAGACAGCAGTCGCGAGCGCAGTGTCTGCTGGAGGCAAGGCAAAGTCTGGCAGCACGCATATTCATCTATGGCAATTCTTAAAGGAGCTTCTAGCCTCACCACAACTGCATGGATCCGCAATTCGATGGTTAGATCGAAGTAAGTAACGCTATTGACATTATATTTTTTACTTTAGTTAGTTATTTTTTGTTTGTATAAATTTCAAAACAAAATTAAACGAATTACCATGTAAATACCAAGACATTTAAACATTTATTTTGAAATTTACCGATTAAATTAACATTCTTGGTAAATTACAAAATAATTATTGCTATAACGCAACCAATTTTCCAGCAAAATCACAACCAGGAAATGATAACTATAAAGCTGTTCTGAAAACTGGCTCACCAATAACGTAAAGCGATGATTAAAACAAATTAAAAATGAACATATATGGCGTTGTTACGAATAATAAATTTGATATAAAATGTTAAGTAATGTTATCTCTATTTATCTAAAGAGAATTTATAATGCTGTATATCTAAACGATAAAAAAGGAAAAACAATTATAGTTTACGAAACAAAATAAAATTCAGTTTGTTTCAAATTCAGTTTTGATAAGATATTTATTTTAGTTATTTTTAAGATAATACATAATGTACACTAATAATAACAATAAGAAACACATCAACAAATTCAAACTATACCGCAACAATTGGAAATTTAGCTGTACCCAACTGTAACCAATAATCTAAAAAGCTCATGTAATAACGCTAATAACCTACTTTTTGTTATGTTCAATGTATTTTTTAACAAACTAAAATTGTACTTAAAAACAGAACTGGCAAACGTACAGTCCACCTGAAGGTAAGTATCTACTGATGCCTATAACTTCTGCAGCCTACTTTAATCAGAGAAGGCTGCAGAGAACAGATGCTATTGAAACAAATTAGATTTTTTTAACACTACTGGGCACAGGCTTCCGCCCATCTCTGAGGGAGTTTTAGGGCTAGGAATTGTCCGCTGCGCTGCCCCGTGTGTTGGCGAACTTCACAAGTCTTCGAAATTTTTTTTTCTTATTAGGCTATTAAAATAAATTAGAATTTTTAACACATAAAGTTTAATGACATTTAATTGAAATGAATAATATGAATGATAAATAAAATTTATTTTATGGTATTTATCGGAATAATACAATTTTAGCCGCAAGATTACTTATAATTCATTAAATAATAATCCGTAATTATTCCACGCCTTATTCAAATGAGCACTGCAGTCCTCTGTCTTAGGTATTTATCTAACTTGGCAACAGACAACGCGAATCGTGACATAATTATAAAAATCATCTCTATCTATACATAGTATAAAACAAAGTCGCTTCCCGCCGTCTGTACTCTTAGATCTTTTAAACTACGCAACGAATTTTGATGCGGTTTTCGTCAATAGACATAATGATTATAGGGAAAAGTTTATATTTATAATACATGCATATGTTGTCTAAGCCCAAAATTTACCCGTGTAAAGTCGGGGTGGATCGATCTTTGGTAAAACGCTTTCAGGTTATTTTAGTCAAATATTTTTATGGTAGATCTCAAACCAAGAAAAAAACACGGAGTCCGGCCTATATTTCTAGTGACGTTGAAACCATTCTCAACTTCTTGACACGCAATCACGTACACATCTTTATTTTTTACGGTAAAAGTTCACTGAAGTACGCACACATATGCACCTAAAAGCATGCTTATGTTTCAAAATTATTTTAAATGTAGCACGTATGCTGCTACCCATCTTCTGTAAAATTTATCTCCGTCGCACCTTACGACACCCACGAGATGATATGGGATAGTGGATTCTTTTACGCCACCTCTACTTCGCGATATATAACTTAAAAATGATAATATAAACAATGAGATTGTATTTTATTAACTAGTTGAGAAAACTTGTTAAAACTTAAACGGCACGGCGACAGTGTGATTGTGCAACTCTGTTGGGAATCACTTTATTTTTAATTATAATAATATTTTGTAGTATTATAGAGCCGCGGTAGTTCAGTGGCTATGCGCACGTTTGAAAATTTCACATTTTTATACGTGGTAGAGCCATGCTGTAGTTATATTAGGAGTATAGTTGTAGCACGAATGGGTCGACTCGACCGGGGAAGGACCACGCTCTCACAGATTACCAGCGTAAAATAGAAGCCTAATGCTGCTGTGTTTCGTATGGTGAGTGTAGAGAACCGGAGACCCTTTTTACTGGAAACGAGGCATTCCTTCTTAGTTCTCACGGGTGACAACGCATCTGTAATCTGTATTTTGATTTGTAATCAAGGATAGATGTAGATGTCCATGAACCGCAGCGGCCACTTACGATCAGGTGGACTGTGTGCTCGTTTGTCACCCCACAAAAAACCCCTGGTTTATTCCTCGCTGGCACCAATGAATGTTTTAATTGCAATTTTATGTCTTAAGTAACATATCAACAATTAATATCAAAATTACTATTGAGGATAGATATTAAATTCAAATATCTGTTAAAACATTAAAGGATTTCTAACGTAGTTCAACCGATCATCAGAAAGTGAAATTAAATATATTTTTTAGATTTATAATATAAATAGAGAAAGAAAAGTTGTAGAATGTTCGCAGATTTATTTATATAAACGTATATTTAGTGCTCAAAATAAGATAAAGAGAATTATAAAAATGCTTTTTTAAGTAACTTTTTTTAATAAAACTGAAATGACAAGCGACAAACAGTCTAGTAAGAACAATAAATTAACAAAAACTGCAGATCTGCAGTTTTTGTTAATGTATTGTTGTTAATAGACTGTTATTACTTCTGAGAACTAAGATTAAATGTTTCACGGCCTTTAATAGGTTAGGGTAAAGAGTGCCAGTCTGTACCCTTTAGAACGGGGAACAGTAATGTTTATCGTAGTGTTCAATATTGTAGCAGTACTATTTGGCGTTAAAATAAGTTGTTTACACGTAACCCTGATCAATTCCCGCCGTCGCATGATTTTAATTTTACTATAAGTATAAACGATGAAACTACTACATTAGTACATAGTCGATTGTTAGTGGGAAATTCATAACGACATTCACAAATCAAGGTGAACGAGCCATTTACTTACCATCTGTTAGGTAGTTAATAGTGTTATGTGGTTTAGCAACAGCAAAGGTTACTTCTCAGCTTCGTGACTCGCCTGTACTAATGGCATTGTTACGGTTTATAGGTTATTTCATTACATTACCATTTAACTGCAAATGTTTATTTTTTTCTTCTCTGCAGATCACGTTCTGATATTTAAATTGTCTGACAATTTAAACTCGAATTTGTTCCACTAAAAGTTCTGAAACGAATTCTCGTGAAATCTATACCGATGTTTAGACGATCGCGTTAAGAATCAAGCAACCGTAATAAATTTAGATTTAAGCGCGAAGGTCATTTATTTTTATATTTCCAATTTCGTATTTCCAAGGTGTTGAAGTTAATTGCCGAAATAATATTTCTCTGCGATACAAAATGATACAAAAAATCACTATGATACAAAAAATCCGTTTAAAGTATTCACTTGCGAATTTTTTCATTGCTATTTACAACTTTAAAAGCGACTTTTCGTTTATTTATTCTCAATGTATAAAAGTTTTCACAATTAAGCCAAATCCAATAAAAATATAGTTCAATTTACGTTAGAGTTCTATCAAAAAATGTTTAATGTATGTCTCGTTCTTCAGGTAACGGTATCTTCAAAATTGAAGATTCAGTGCGTGTCGCTAGACTGTGGGGCAAGCGAAAGAACAGGCCTGCGATGAACTACGATAAACTGTCAAGAAGCATACGACAGTATTACAAGAAAGGCATTATGAAGAAAACTGAGAGGAGTCAAAGGCTGGTTTATCAATTCTGCCATCCATACTCCCTTTAATACTCATTAAGTTGCAATTTATAATTTAGTTACAATGTAAATATTTATTGTAAATAAGGGCGTGCGAGAGCCGCGGTAATGCGGACAATGGGACAGCTGGTTGCGATTTGCGAAGTTAACGCAAAACGTAATGCAGTTTCAGAGTTTGTCGACTGCCTCGAAAGGTCCCTGTAAAGGCGAGTACGCCTAGGGACTTATGAAAGGAACCGATTGTTGCCCCTCCATATAATTCGAGAAAGGTAATTTTCTCTAGAATTCTATTGGACGGGGAAAATTTCCTGATTGCTTTAGTGTTTAAGTTCTTTTTTACCAGCGAATAGATGGAACTGTCGGTTTCTTAATCGACTGTGAAATTCAAAATATTGACAGTTGTCAATCGAAAGCTGGTAATGTTTATCCCATATATCTATGATATATTTCTAGTACGTTCTATGAACTTTTAGGTAAGTGTAGTGTAAATATATTTAGATAAATATTTTTTGAATCATTCAAAAGTTAAGTTTCTTGTTTAGTATTTACTTTACAATACATAAGAGGAATTTTATGTTATGTATAAATCAATGCTTAATATATCTTTAATCATAAGATAACATGTAAACTTGGAGACGTGTAAAATATTTATATAACCTGTGATTTAAGTTTTACTTTGTTGAGTATTTTTGAGCGTTATCGCTTAAAATGGGACACTTGCAATGTAGGCGTAACTTTGTTTATATAATTTTAAAGTCGGATAGATTTCTTAAATCAGGCGTCGAAAATTTTGTGCCAAATAGACATATAAAATTCGAATTTATTCGGGACAAAATTTGTTAAAAGAGTATTATATATCATCTACTCATATGAAAAATTGTAAAATAACTACAGTGCGGTGTTGGGTCACTTCGGATTATAGAATTAAGTTATTATTTAAGACAAGACGCAGTTAGCGTTCGATGTAACAATAAGTTATTGGACCAAACTAATGTAGATTTTGTGAATGACTAATGAAATTAAATGGCCATTTTATTAATATTTTTTTTTATTTGTTTACCGCTCCCTCTTATGTTGATTGTATACAAGTAAGTACACCTTATGGCGCAATTAGAATAGAATATTATGATTTTTATTCAATAAAGGTTATAAATAATATTTATTGAAAGTCATTTTTTACTTTTGTCGCTGGTTTTTTACATGATAAAGGTGACAAACGAGCACAGAGTTCACCTGATGGTGAGTGCTGTAGACCCATAGTCACCTACATCTACTATCGATTAAGAATTAAAATGGAATAGTACTTTCTGCGTCCATATAACCACAACGTATAACTTTTCAGTTATAACATATATATTATAATATAACAGTTCTTTTGTTCATAGAACTGAAGTGATCGTTAGTTATTTAAAGTCAACCTGATGGTAAATGGCTACTGTAAGCCATAGACATCACTAACCAACTTCAAATAAATTAGGCTACAGACGCATTGTAACCTCGGAGAATTAAGATGGAATCCCTCGCAGCGTGTAAAGGCCGGATCACACGCACGTACTAATGTTATACATCAGAAATATGTAAGTGGGTGGTATCACAGAAATCGTAATAATGACAATAGAAGTCGCATAGACGCGTGACCATGAGGCCGCTATGATGTGTTGATGAACATCGTTCACCATTTTGTGATTTAATTGCGCGGGGAACATCGTACGTGAATTTATGTTATAACGATGGTAAAATGTAGCATAATCAGTTGTAAAAACTCATGTGTAATTCAGCTAAAAAAAGAATAACATTTCATCGGTAAATTGATTATTTACTAATTATCATTGTTTTAACTAATTTCCATCTAGATGAATACTTTACTATGGTATTTACCTTTGTAAACTTTCATTTATTACTTTTCGTATTGTACAATTACCATCGCTGCTTTTGTTCTACCGTGATACGTGACGCACGCGTCGTTGATAAATTCGCCAAGCAATGTAACCTGAAACATTAGATATCATTGTGCACTGCGTATCGAGCGCTAATTCATTTCTATTGTCTTATTATTACTATTCCTGTGTGTGGCACCTACCCTGATGAACTCCTAAGTAGAACTGAAGTGCTACCTAGTTAAATCGATACTTAGTAGAAACTGTATGCATGTGGGTTGTAAATCACTCGGAATTCATTTGTATGACCGGCGGTGACGCTAAAGCTTCGTGGAGACAGTATACATACATAAATGTTACAAATACAAACATCCAGACCTTAAACAATTATTTGTAGGTCATAAAAATAGTTGTTCCGTACGGAATTCGAACCCGCAACCTTCAGCACCGCAATTCATTGCAAAGACATTGCGCCAGCAGAGCCTTCAACTGGATATTATATCTTTCCCAATAAGTTTCTCTATTAACAGATCAGACGTGTAACAACACCAATATTTTTGGTGAACATAGCCAGCGTGACGGTTTAACCGTACATTATTAAGTTACTATAGCAGAAACTTCTATAGTATGTGTAAAATTCCACAGCTGAATATTTGATAACAGTTTTAATAGAATTCGTTGAAATATATTTTATTTTATTTCTTGAGATCCAATAGAAGAGGTAAAAACATACTCGTATCTTCATTTTAAAGACTTATGTCTGATCGAATAAGGTCTATAAAACAAATTTCTATTTTAGTCTCTTTATTCCTAACACGAAAGCGCCAGCTTAGTGGGTTACTTTTGTCAGTTTGTTTTGTTCTATGGTACCAACAGCAACAGGGTACTAATTATTTTACATATATATTGAGTGTATTGGTCCTTCACCTGATCTCTCTTCGGTCGTGTCTGTGCACCAGTGCTTGCGCATACGCTTGGGCATTATAATTCAGTACTTCCCCGGTAATCAGTTTCCGTTGAGGCTGGCTGCTGTAACCGAAATTCAGTCTGGAGGGCATTATTATATTGAGTGTATTGGTCCTTACTGATCTTGGTGGGCTAAGGCATTGTTTGTGAGGGTGTTAACGAAATAGTCTGGAGGGCATTATTATCATTATTGACCGTATAAAAAAAATCGAAATGGGCCATAAACTTTTTGACCCCACCCGTTGCTGAGCAAATTATATCAAATACCATTCAAATACAGTTAGTACAGTTTGACATAGTGCTTATCTGCCCTTCGGTCTTTGACATCTAAATTAAGATTGAAATTGCATTGTCAAGATGTCATCTTACACAACTATCTGCAACACTCCCCTCTCCAATACCCTTTCCTTGAGCGTGGTCGTTCTCCCCTCCAATAGAAGCGAAAGACAGCCACTTTCACTTAAAGAATTTCGGTTGTAGGTGAGTGTTGACGTCATATTTACGCAACGTGATGCAATTTGCGCTAAAATTTTTATCAACTTAAGGGATGATATGGGAGATATAATTTGCTAAGCACTGTTTAAAAAAGTCGCTGTAAACTTCTTTTGGATATTTTGATCTTATTTATACAGTAGTATAATACCAATAAGATCCTTTATCATTAGTACCTTATTATTTACTTGTGCAAATAGCATCTTAAATGCGAAGTAACCAAGTATTTTATAGGTATAAAATGAATAGAATCGAAATTTATATCATATATTTTATGACCCCACTCATTTTGCTAATTATTTTGCCTTTAATTTTAGGTAATAACATAATACATTTACTGTATTACCTATGTTATGAAGTGAATTTATTAATGTATCTATGTAACTAGAGACTCGCCGTCGTATAAATGTGTTAAAAAATAAGAAAGATTATTTTGTATTATGGAAAGTAAAATTTTAACTGCCAAGAACGTTTTGTAGATATCTTTTGTTTTCTAAAGTGTACACCACTTCGATACCTAGTGCGTGGCGTTTGACTATATTGCCCTCAAGCTAGTGCGTTTTATCGAATTCAGAATTTATGTTTATGGTTACTTATGAATATTTCATAAAGCCTATGATATTCAATTTGAAAAGTGCAAGCTACGTGTATGTAAAAATTTTATAACCATTGATATAGCCGTTTTTGTGTTGTAAACCGACAAACAAACTAAGAAAATATACTAATAGGTATACATTTGTATATTTTATTAATCTGTTTGTCTTCTTTTTATAATCTTAGTATTTTAATGAACACTAATTGAATAGAAAAATATCGGAGAGTAAGAATCTATTCACTTTAAATGTGGATGTGCTATACCTACCTAATGCCATTAGATTACGTAAAACAGTAAAACTAAAACTTCTGAAAATTGAGAAATACTGCAAATACACTTGCTTTAGGTATGGGCAAGTATAAAAAATACATTATGGTGTTTATTTTTTAATTTTAATTAATAATCAAAAGACTATATATATAAGACTTCTACGGATTTTATATTTTTAGACTTGTGCCACTACTTTTATCCTAACCTAAGGCCTTTACCTTTCTCAAGAGTAGTGGTAGCTCAGATGGTTAACGCTCGCTGTAAATATAACAGAACGCGTGTAACCCGGATTCGATCCCCGCCGGCACCAACGAAATTGTTAATTGCAATTTTAAGTGCTGATTTACCACGTGCCCTCACCTCTCAGAAATCGCTCAGAAACCCTCTCAGAAATGAGGGGAGGACTATGCCCAGCAGTGAGACGTATATAAGCTGTAACTTTACTACTTTACTTTACCACATGCTCGGCAGTGAAGGAAAAGATCGTGAGGAAACTGCATGTCCGAATAAGAAAAAAAATATTTCGAAGAGATGTAAAGTTCGCCAACACGCATTGGGGCAGCGCGGCGGACACTTCCTTGCCCCAAAATTCTTAGAAATGAGGGGAGGCCTGTGCCCAGCAGTGGGACGTATATAATCTGTATACTATCCTTTTTACTTTTAAGGCCTTTATTCAGGAGTAGCCTATGAAAGGGTGACAAACTAAGACAAGATTTAAAATATTATTCAATTTAGGTTACTCCTTATAGCTCTTATGAACGCCGAAAGATTCAAACCACCGCTGGTGCAACCGGTGGCAGATGCAGTGGCGTAGCGTGGGTTACATCACCATTACCATGTTAGGATATGTTTATTAACTTTAAGCCCATTTAATTTATAGCTTTATAGCTATTATGTTTTTTATAATTTTAATGAAAAGGGTATGACCTCTGAAATTAAAAATGTATCTGTACATATAACACAAAATACGTGTTCAGAAACTTCATTTCCAATAAAGATACTACTTAAAAATTTCTCCGTGGCATCACATTATGGAAACAGTGTCAAGGCCTCAGAATTATTCACGTAGATGAGTAATGTGTGAATCATTTCTATCACAGTAATCTGGTTAACGGCATATCGATTCCGAGCTGATGAATATTTAAAAAAATATATAAAAGATATAAAGTACCTGCGGGTAATAAGGCTTAGCTTTTATACGTGGTAGAGCATGCGCAGTTTATTAGTATATAGTTGTAGCCGGGGGCCAAGTAGTGATGCTTAAGTTGTATTATGTTTAGAGAGACCCTTTTGGAATTGATTTTATGGAGGTGGGTCTTAAGCTAAGGTTAATTCGAAAACAAGCGAGAAATATCCAATTTGGTCTAATAAAAATCATTGGCTTAGTACTAAAATTTCTATAAAGTGTGAACGAAAAATTGAAACATTTGCCTTTATAATATTTCTAAAAACTTTGCTAGTAGGCCCTTATTTTACTAAGGTAGGGTATTAAGGCCTACTGCTTTAAGGAACTCAAATAATTAAATTATACGTAACGTATTTAATATTTATGATCTATAATCACATGAATGTACCAATTAAGACTAAATGTTCTTAAAAAATATAAAATTCCTCGCCTAAAAGCTTTTAAAGTTATTAGTATAATGATGAACAAACTGACAAACAAACGCAATCTTGATTTAACAATCACGAGGAGTGCATCACTGATAATCAGTGTATCGGTTGTGTCTCGAGTTGAGATGAGTGTTGGGTTGTGTAGAGAGTTGGGTTGATTGTTGGGTTGTGTAGAGAGTTGAGATGAGTGTTGGGTTGTGTAGAGAGTTGGGTTGATTGTTAGGTTGTGAGTTGAGTAGAGAGTTGGGTTGATTGTTGGGTTGTGTAGAGAGTTGAGATGAGTGTTGGGTTGTGTAGAGAGTTGGGTTGATTGTTGGGTTGTGTAGAGAGTTGAAATGAGTGTTGGATTGTGTAGAGAGTTGGATTGATTGTTGGGTTGTGTGTCCTCCAAATAAAATTTATGTCACAGCGGCCAGTCTCCACGGAGAATAGCCTATCTGCACAGTACAGAATTAGTGTCCGAAAGTATGCGCAAACGCAGGTGCACTCTTTATTCCCTCACAGTTATCAAATCACAATCCGACATAGTCTGAGAGAGCTTAAGCGCAGGATTTAATAATTTAAACATAATTTAATAGTTTCTAACGTCAAAGTCTTAATTCTTCGCCACACTTTGTCATTGCAGTGTTTGGACAGCTGAAACCAGGTCATTTTCTGACTACGACATTAGTAATAAAAGCCTAAGGTTTAATTGCATTTATAAAATTTTAAAAGATAAAGTACATTATAAAACAAAAAAAAATCACACAAAGAGTTATAATAAGACCTATGGTGAAATTTTGTAGGCCATAATAACCGCTGACCAAGTATTTAAGAAAAACAAAATTAAAAAAGTTGACGACAATACATTATTCAAATCTTCAAGATCAACAAAGCATTTATTCACAAAGAGAGATATAACGATTTTAGATAGCTAAGTGTAATATTACAAAATGTACGACTATCTAAAATTTATTTGGATTGACTTTTATTATTGGTGCAGTGCGGTCGGTCGGAACCCTGGTGGCAGGACGAGGGGTAGCGCGTCTCTGCGAACTTGTGGAAACAATATCGTGTAATAGGAGTCTGTTATCTCTTTGAGCGATAACGGTTATTATAAATTCGATTTTTGTAACTTAGGCCTTATTATTTATTTTATTTTTTTATAGAAGAAGGGGCAAACGAGCGTACGGTTCACCTGATGTTAAGGACTACCGCAGCCCACGAACAACTGCAACACCAGGGGAATTGCGCGTTGCGTTGCGAAAGGTGCGTTGCCGGCCCTTTAGAAAGGAGTAAGCTCTTTTCTTGAAGGTCTCCAGGTCGTATCGGTCCGGAAAAATCGCCGGTGGTAAATTATTCCACAGAGAGGTCGTACGCGGACGAAAACTCCTAGTGATACGTACGTACAGTGATGGACCGCCAAGCGCCAAGCATCCAAATGGTGTGGATGATATCGGAAGGTTTGTCGCGTAGTGCGTTATATATTTATTTATACGTGGTAGAGCCACGCTGCAGCTATCATGGTTGTAACATAAATGGTTCGGCTCGACCGGGGAAGGACCACGCTCACAAAGAATGCCACCGTAAAATAGCAGCTTAATGCTGCTGTGTTTCGTATGGTGAGTGTAGAGAACCGGAGACCCGATTTACTGGAATCGAGGCATTCCATCTTTGTTCTCAAAGGCGATAAGATATTGTCTATGGGCCACGGCATCCACTTACCATCAGGTGGACTGTGCCGTGACGTTTGTCACCCTTATCCTATAGAAAAATGAACTAGCCGGCAGACCTTATTACCCGTTTCCACAACGTGGTAGAGCCACTATATCTGATATTATGATTGCAGCACGAACGCATAAGCACCAGGCTCTCACATATTATACCAGCGTAAATAGCAACTCAATGCTGCTATTTGTTTTGGTGATTGTAGAGAACCGTTGACCCTTTTTACTGGTAACGAGGGATATTCTATCTTAGTCCCATGGGGGTGACATTACATTATGATTCTTAATCAATGACAGATATGAGTGTCTATGGGCCACATCAACCACTTATCATCAGGTGGAGTTTGCCACTATTATTTTATAAAAAAATTACAATTTTTTTTATAAATTATTTTTTTAGGAACAGATAATATAGGCGGTACTTTAATTCATGAAAATGTGAAAAAAGAGCACTGGTTATAACGCTTTAATTAGGTATTTTGAAAATATTGATGCTGTGGTGAGGCTGACAAACTAATATTTTTTTTAAAAAATTTTATGTGTACGATATAGTGCAATGACATCATTGTCCAGTAATCATCTTATTTGTTTATTTCTATACACTAAAAATCTAATTGAAGATAAAGTGGAAAATCGACTAAGTTTTTTTTTTAATGGAATTAGGGTGACCAACAAGGACATATTCCACCTGATGGTAATTAGCAAGCAGACACCTATATCTATTCTCGAAAATGTAGATGCTTTGTCATCCCTGAAGACTAACATAGAATGCCTCGTTGCCGTTACGTAAAAAGGGTATCTGGTTCTCTACACCCACCATACGAAATACAGCAGCATTGAGCTGCTATTTTACGCTGGTATGCTGTGAAAGAATGGTCCTTCCCAGGTTATCTGTGCTTCAACCAAAATGTAAGCTTTGGGAAGCAGTAAATAATTAAATGTAGAGTGGGTCGGAATATACCAAAATTTTCTCAAAATGTCTAGCCGCCGATCGGAAGATATAGACATTTTATTAATAGTTACTCACAAAATATATATTTTGTTAAAATAAATCATAAATGATAAAATAAAGGACATATAAATATTAACAAAATAAAGATGGCGTTCTGACTCAGCTTAATATGGCTACAGTACGTGAGGTAGGTCCCGGGGTACCTCAAGATTTCAAATTTCAATTTTAAAAAATTACTACTACGATATTTTAACATTAGTCGACATACAAGTCTCAACGTTCAAAAATGTACCAATCGTTATGCTATCAACGCTACGCTACGCTCCGCCCCAATAATAGTCAAAAGCTTGGACATACCAATATATTGAAAACATCTTTGTATAACCGTGCTGCTCCTGAACTATTGCTAGTCCTGAACAAGTATATACACAGTAATCTATGGTCCTGAAGTAGTGTTGTGGCTGTCGCATGAAAACGTCGTCTTGAGAAACACGCCTTTATAAAAATATCATTGAACAACAGCATAATACTGCTGTGTTCCGTATTGCAGGAGACGATTACTGCTGAATATTTTTAATGTTAACGAAGAATTCCGTCTTACTCCTCAAGGGTGACAGCGCATCTGCATTTTGATTTGTAATTGATAATTAACCGATAATAAATTTATGGGTGTCTATAGGTCGATATGACATCTGTAAATAATACACCAAAATGCCTATTGTATCCAACACTCCAAGCCTCAAAAATATGTATTTTATTGAATACTATATATTTGCAGCATTGGGTGACAAACGAGCACGCAGTCCACCAGCAAGTGTATGCTGTGGCCCATAGGCATTATCTACAATTAAGAATCAAACTGCCAATGCATTGTTACCCCTGAGGACTTAGATGGAATGCCTCGATTCCAGTAAAAAGGATCTCCGGTTCTCTACACTCTCCATATGAAATACAGCAACGTTAAGCTGCTATTTTACGCTGGTATTCTGTGAGAACGTGGTCCTACCCGGTCGAGCCGACCTATTCGTGCGACAAATGTAAATGTAGCTGCAGCGTGGCTCCACCACGTATAAAATACAACATAATATACTACTAGCGATCTGCCCGGCGTCGCACGGGTGATTTCGGTTTTCTCGATGACAGCGCCACCTAAATTTTTTTTTATAGGATAGGGTGACAAACGAGCACACAGTCCACCTGATGGTAAGTGGTTGCTGTGGCCCACAGACATCTACATTCAATTTCATATCAATATCATTACGAATCAAAATGCAGATGTGTTGTCACCCGTGAGGACTAAGATGGAATGCCTCGTTTCCAGTAAAAAGGGTCTCCGGTTCTCTACACTCACCATACGAAATACAGCAGCATTAAGCTACTATTTCACGCTGGTATTCTGTGAGAGCGTGGTCCTTCCCCGGTCGAGCCGACCCATTCGTGCTACAACTATACTACTAATATAACTGCAGCATGGCTCTACCACGTATATTAATAAATGCTCCAATAGTGAATCTAAGCCACTCAGGGACCCGCTCGAATATACATAAAACATTTCATCAAAATCCATTCGGTCGTTTAGGAAGAGTTCAGCCATGAATACATGTACAGACGAATATAATACGTCGACGCACGTGATAAAATAATGACGCAAAATCTTAAAATAAGTTAGATCTAAATGTATTCGCATAAGGGTTTGAATAACTGGATAATTACACTTAATCCACCCAACCTTAAAGAACGTTTCTAATTCCTCAGCTCCTCTCATAAACTTTTCCTTCGGTCTTTAAAAACCTTTCCCTTCTATGTCCCTTGCACTCTTCTGCTTTTTACAGTAAATTTTTTTCTGACTCCTTTAAAAACCAAGTTAAAAAACATTATCTTTCTTCTAAACTCTCATTCCTCCTTTCAACTCTTCCTGTCGTTTTATGATCACTAGTCTGTCAGTTAGTAAATGCGGTTCTTTTATATTTTGGATTATAATATTATTTATAGTGCACTCTACCCATTAATTAACTTTTCACTTATTTTTATTCCCTACTTAGGTTGTATGGAAGAAATTGCTGCGTAGCAATAAGACCGCCTTTTGTTTTTCTCTTTGTTTGTTTCTTGTTATGTTATTTGTGTTCTTACATTCTTACGTGTACTATAAACGGTATTGTATTGTATTTTAGACATATAGAATTTGACTTACCCCGCATTAGATTACATAACATGTTTCCTAACGTAAGCCTGTCTGTCTTCAAGAATAAGAGACGCTGGCCAGTAGAAGCTCGAATAGCTGTACCGTAAATTAATATTCACTCGATCTGGGTTTCGAATGCAATATCTTCAATGCCGTAGCCAGGTAAAATACCTAATAAAACAACTTATATACTTATTACTTGTAGTGAAAAAACTTCACAAAATGTTTTAATGTATTTTTGTCACCGTATGTGTCGCTAAGGGAAAACATGTTTTAAATCGAAGTTCTCGTTTAGTTGTATACAAGTCTGTTTGAATTTGAATAATTTTCTTTCATTTTGATTTTAAACCAAGCGAAATATTGAGCATGGGCCAAGTTAAAAGAGCAAGAAAAAAGATTTATCGTATCCATATTTTCATTATTTTATTATCTTTAGGGATGGTGTAGAATTCTAAATTCTAATATTGTATTAGTATAATATGTTTCAATAATATATTTCATTCAGTATAGTATGTGGATCATGACATAATACTTATTGAAAGTCATTTTTTATTACATACACATATAACCCGCAAGAAATTAAGCGGGATTATGTTATTAAATGTAATAGTTTACATCATATTGTACATATTATGTTATATAATACGTAGTAGCGCCACGATGCACCTATATTATGATTGTAATATGAATAGGTCGTCTCGACAGGGGAAATGCCACGCTTTCACAGAATATCAGCGTAAAATAGCAGCTTAATGTTGGTGACTTTCGTATGGTGATTGTAAAGATACCTACTCTTTTTAATGAAAATGATGCATTCCACCTTAGTCTTCAGGGTTAGAAACGCATTCCTTTATATAGTTTTACTATCATACTCTTTTTAATTGTATTATTATTACATTGCACACATTTTCATAATTGTACTGTGTTACACTAGATTTTCAACCTAGGAGTCCGACTGGATAGGTACCATCCCCTGACTCATTACTGTGTATTGTAGTTACATAGTTGTATTTTTTATAGAATAAGGATGACAAACGAACACACAAACTGATGGTAAGTGCATGCTTTTACCTATACACATCTACATTTATCCTCGATTAAAAATTAAAATGCAGACGCGTTGTCACCCCTGAGGACTAAATGGAATGCCTCATTTCCTGTAAAAAAGGGTCTCCGGATTTCTACACTTATCATACGAAACACAGCAGTATTAAACTGCTATTTTGCGCTGGTATTCTGTAAGAGCGTGGTCCTTCCCCGGTCGAGCTGATCAATTCGTGCTACAGCCATAATATAGCTGCAGCTTGGCTCTACCACGTCTGATCGTATTGGTTTTAAATTTTTCATGTAAACAGTAAAGGACAAGCAAAATGACTACAATTCCGCGGGTTGAATACAGCAAAGTACAGGTTCTGCCATGTTCTAGAAATAAATGTTCCGGGTCTGGATGTATGTCCTAGTCTAGTTTATGTATGTAAGCCACCTGCTCGATACGAAAAAGATCCTAATGTGGAGGTAATTTATTTTTGTAAAAAATTACTACAATCATCTTAATGTATGATAGTAAATAAAACTCTATGCTAAGAGTTATCATACATTGAAAATGTAGCTTGCACTTTATTTAAAATGTGTGGCCGTGGAAGGAAAAGGGGAGATCTCCCGCCGGTCAAGATGTGTTGCCCGGGGAGCGGCCAACGCTCTGTGTGATAGTTCGGAGTTGTTCTATATAGGGTGCTTTGGGGTAACCTCGAATCTGGGGTAATTTCAAAAATCAAACATTACTACAATACAGAAAGTTATATTGTTTCCTGGCAGCACTGACTTCGACGCCATGTTGATCTATTCCCAGATTTCAGTTCACTCTGTTCGCTCTCAGCAGGTACGTGTGTTGTGTGTGACATTTTATAAAAAAAGTGCGTTTTCGTGGATTTTGTGGAGTTTCGAAGTTACCCCACATCATTTTATTAAGTGATTTGGTAAGTTAAACGATTTATTGTCTTTTTTATCAATGGATTGACGTTTTTGACGCATTTTTAGATTATCTTTATCATTATAGCTACAGTTTTAAAAATACTTACAAAATTGCCCCATAGGTAAATTTCGAAAGATTATGCTTTTGACCAGTGGTTCTCAAATTAATATTTTTTTATAAGTACTTTATTGCGCTGTAATAAAAATGTAATAGAATCACAATTAAACAATTTTTGTACTGAATGGCCATCGTAAATAATCAAAACGGGGCGTTCTTCACCGAGCGCCGGAAATAATGTTTTTTTCAAGTAATTCACAAATATCGTACTCTCCATCCAACCTTTGCTGCTTGATGCGTATGTCAACTCAAATTCATAATCTTTTTTATCAGTCGTCCACTGTTTCCATACATATTGCCCCTTAAATACTATTAAGGCATGGAATCACAATCTTAAAATTACCACCTCACACCTCCCACTTATTACAACCATTGGATGTGGCGGTCTTTAGATCATTTAAGTGTAAGTGGGATGCTAAATTAGTTATATGGCAGCGCCATAATGTCGGACTTAAAATGCCTAAAAATGTTTTTTCTCAAACGTTTGCAGACACGTGGCAAGAAACAAATGCCGAGATAATAAAAAAGCGGCTTCAAAAAAACTGGAATATATCCGTTCAACCCTGATGTATTAAAACAGGATATATTTGAACCAGCTGCCTACAAACGATTTAAAGAAAAGCTACGCACATTTGTGCGTAGCTTTTCTTTAAATCGAGAGTTTCGGATTTTTGAGAGCATTTGCTCAATCCGAAACCTCTGCAAAATTTATGTATTGACGTTTTTAATAAGATTTTACAGTTTGCACCTGACTTAGAAGAACAAGTGGAACGAGTAGTTACACACACGAATACTCAAAATGTCACCTTCTTATCAGACCTTTCAAGAAAAGATAATCAGACGCAGTCTTTTTTGGCAAATAATATTTCCAGTTTACCAGATTGTCTAAAATGCAAGCAAAATGTAAAGCCTGAGCCAAAAATTAAAATTTTATCCAATGTAAAGGTCAATTTCGAAGAATTGCTACTCGACAAAATAAAACAGGATAAGAAGGATATTAATTATCAAACAAAGAAAACACGTGTTGCTAAAGGAGCTGAAATAATAACTTCTAAACAATTAGAAGACTTGGAAAAGCAAAGTAACGAAACAGCGTTACAAAAAGCTAAGCCGAAAAAAAGGAAGTCAATAAAAGATATAGATTTCGCAGATGTGGGACCTTCAGGTATAAAAAAAGTGAGTAAACAGAAAAAACAGGGTAAGAAAAAAACATAAAAAAGGAAATAGATTCGAATGAATCTTCGTCTGATATTTCTGATTTTATAAGCCTCTACAGTGACGACATAGACATTGATCAATATTATAACGATGAAACACTCAGAGAAGAAAATTGGCCAGATGATTTAAATTTTGAGATGGATACTTTAAATTCTTTGGAAACATATGAGAATAAAGAAATTTCAAATGAAGTTAAAGAATGCGAAAATGGAAATCCTCATACCAAAACTAAAAATAAAAGTGTGGGTAAAAAGAGTAAAGCAAAAGAAAATAACCAAGGCTCAAAAGAAACTAATAAGAGTGATGATGACTCTAGTGTAGTAGGTAATATTAACAAAAATTTAACAAATACCACAGAAATTGAAACACTACAAGAAAATTACTGCATAAATGATTCCGTGTTAGTCAGATATTACGTTAGAAAGACATGGAAATACTATATTGGATTTATAAAAGGAATAAAAGAAAAAGACGGAAATAGATTATATTGTATCGCTTATTTAAAAACTATGAAAGCACCCCAACTTTGTTTCAGAGAAACTAAAAAATTAGATTATGATGAAATTACAAATATATCTATAGTAAAGAAAATAAATTTGCACAGAATGAATGATAAAATGTATAGATTGGTTAATGAGAGCGACAACATATATTTTTAAGTTAATTATGTTAAATAGTTTTCTTAAGTCTGGCATAGAGAGGTAGCATAGGAGAGCGAAGGAACAAAAACCCTTGTAATCATTTTTAAGCACAGAGTTACGTTGCGTTTTCATATTCCGGGTTTAGGAAATGAAGTGTTAATATACTTACCTAAAATGGTCTGATGTGTTACCTACTAACTACTAAGTTTAATGAATAACTTTATGAATAATAAACTTAATAGGTAACGCATCAGACCATTTTAGGTATATTAACGCTTCATTTCCTAAACCCATATATATGACCCCAGATGTATATCTTTTGAGAATTAGGTATTTTCTATTTTCTAATTTGTATTCTAATTCTAATTGTTTAAGAATATTTTCTTAGTCCTTTTTGGTAGTTAAAAGTATTAATCTGAATGTGAAATGTGATGTGTTTAATGTAAAGTTGTTTTTTTATTACCTTTTGCTTTAGGTACCAGTTTTATTTCATGTAATGTCTTAACTGTTTGTTATGTACAATTCTAAAAATTTATTATTTGTCTTTTGTATTTTCAAAATGACAATTGCAAGACTAATTACGATAAGATAGTCCATGAAAATGACGTGATCTAATGTAAAGGTGCAAACTTAAAAATAACTAGGTAATTATTACCTACTTGATTAGCAGCTAGTTTATGACAACTGATGTGATCTCGTACTAAGTTAAAATACTTCTTTTTTCAAAATAATTTAAAATTAGGTACCAATTCGAGTTGGTATTAAAAAAAGGTTGTGATTACTTAAAAAAATCATAGAATTGTTTATTAATTTAAACTACTTAATTATGAACAATTTCGAAGTATGGTCTTATAACTTCGTATTTTCAATTTTCTAAGTTGTTTTTTTTTTGCATATGTTTAAGAATATTTCTTAGTCCTTGTTTTTAATTATAAGTATTAATGTGAGCAGATGTTTAATGATAAGTAGTTTTCTTACCTTTTGCTATAGGTACCAGTTTTATTTCATGTTTTCTTAACTGTTTATGATGTACAATTATATAAATTTCTTATACGCCTTTTGTATTTTCAAAATGTCAATCTCAAGGCTGAAGATAAGATAGTCCATGATAATAATTGATACGGTCTAATAATAAGTGAAGATGTATACTTAAAAATAATTGATATATCTTGATTAGCAGCTGATTTACGACAAAAACTCAATGTGATCTCATACTAAATCATAAATAAACTGATTCAAATATTTTTATTGTTTTGTTTTCCCTGCCTACCGATATTGTAAAAAAATGTTGAGAAACACTGACTTGCCATGGGGTAATTTCGAAAATAAATTCTTAAAAAATTTGTAACAAAAGTTGTGTGGCCATTAGGAAAGAAAAAAAAACTTTGGGGGGAATTTAAAATCAAAAAAGAATATGTACCTTAAAGCCATATCGCACAAAGAGCATTTTTGACTGTAATTCGAAATTGCCCTACAGTATTCGAAATTACACTTGAGGATCAAAAAATCTAACTAATAATAAAAATTAAATTTTGATATCTAGCAACTACGTTAGAATACTTTTGAAATGAGCTTTTCTTCACAAAATATGTAAACTACATAAAACTTGTGCTTGTTTCAGGAAAAAATGTACAGATTCTGACTTTTGATAGAAAACATAAATGGTCTATTAACTTCATATAAATCCTTTCGAAGTTACCCCAAAGCACCCTATACTGAACTTTGATAGCGCGATTTAAGCTTCGGTGTGTTTCGTTTGTGGCGCGATGACAGCGCAGCCACTAATGTAAAAAAAACACCTACAAACAACATACAATCAAACTCTTATAATTATTTAAGATTTTGGTTATTGGGCGCATTCTAGGTAAGACCAGTATGAGAATTCGAATTGATGACAATAAAAAAGTAACGAGTTTGTCATGTAACATTATTTTATTTATCATTTAAGTGTTAATGCGCCAGAATAATATAAGAATATAATTCGTAGCCCACTATAAGCTCTTACATTATACCACATAAAGGCGTTGCCTAGAGGTCGGCTACATTCCAAAATTGTGAGTCCAGTCCAGTCGCCAGCTGGTACGGATCGCGCGGCGCCCATACCTAACTTAGAAATATAATTATAGTTTTATCAGCATTCAACTCGATGTTAGAAACTTCACAAATAAATGTTAACATTTATCTTATTACAAATGAATTTTATGTTATAGTTATTTAAATATAACTAATTTTTCAACAGTAATTTAACATTTTTGACAATATGAAATTATTATGCTCGGTAGTTACAAACGTCGATATTTTCCTTTTTAAATATGTGTATTTTTCATAAAATACTTCAGAAGTATTGAACCTCCGTTTAAGACTAGCCCGCTTATATATAAATACAAACACGTCCTCTCAAGAGGTAACAAACTGAGACAGTATTTTCATGCTTTGAACATTGTTAAGCATCTGAAAAATGCTATTTCAGTTCCAAATTTCATATTGCAGAAGAACTTCTAGGTAGTTAAGCTTACTTTATAGAGCCATGCTGCAACTATATTATGACTATATATAAAAAGTTTAATGATGCTGTGTTTCGTATGATAAATGTAAAAAACCTTTTTAATGCAAACGAGGCATTCCATCTTAATCCTCATGGGTGATTACGCATCTGGATTTTGATTCTTAATCTAAGATAAATGTAGATGTCTATGAGCCACAGCATCCACTTACCATGATGTTTAGACGTGAACAAAGCTAGTGGACCTGATGGTATACTAGCTATATTTCTAAAGCTCTGTGCAACTGAGTTGTCTTCTGTGTTGACGCGCTTGTTCCACCTCTCATTTAGGAGACTGGAAATGTGCCCAAATCTTGAAAGCTAGCCAATGTACCACCTGTCATGCTGAAAGGGCAGTCATGCCGACCCTGCCAATTATTGGCCATTTTCAATTACCTACATAATCTGCAAGATTGTGGAGCGTATATTAAACGCCCACCTCATGGTATACCTAATGGTCTCCTCAGTGACTGCCAGTACGAGTTTCGCTGAAATCGATCAACTAGGGACCTTCTAGCGCATGCCACTCACATATAGGATGAAGCCCTCAAGAACAGTGCCGGCACCAATTAAATTGTTAATTGCAATTTTAAGTGTTTATTCTATTGACAAAGTTACTTTTCTTTCTGTTATTTTCTTATGTGTGTATGATTTAGTATTAACAAATTATATTTAAATATTTTGTGTGTATTATATTAAGCCGTGGTAGCTCAGATGGTTAGCGCAAGCTGTAAATTTCACAGTATACGGGTTCGATCCCCACCGGCACCAATTAAATTGTTATTTGCAATTTAACAAATTATATTTAAATATTGTGTGTGTACCGCATCTACGAATACTAGAGTAGTTAAAAATACTTTTTTTTAATAATGACAGTCATTAGTTGATCATTAGTGAATGTGATTCTGTTTACTTAAATTACAGGAAGAAAAGAGCAGAAGGAAATAATGGGATTATGGGAAGTAATGAAGCATTGTTATGTGAAGTTTGTTGGAACAAACATACATTTTAATCACGTGTGAATACTTTTAACATTTTGGTTCAAAATGACACAAAATCTAAAAAATATTAGTTTATATGTATATATTATTAGATACATCATCGATATGGACGGATTTTACATTACATATCCTCATAAACATTTTCAATAAAAATGATTCGTTTATCGATCATTATTTGTTTCGGCCAAGTTATCCTTTCAATTATTTGTCACCAAAAGACAAAAAACTGTTCGTTATTGTGAAACACACGTGCACGGCATTCCATATTTTGATGTGACCGAAGAATTAAAATGTGTCATGTCATTTTTGCGTAGGATGCACGGTTCCGGAGATGTCCAGATCAATTAACTCTTATGTAATTGATATCCTGTGAGGGCCTCCACCGTCATTAGCGCCCCATTGTTATTTATCTATTGTTCATTGAATACCGTCATTGTCTATTCTTGTGTCGGATTATCAGTGCTATTATATTATACTCCTTTGTTCCTAACTGCAACCCGGTAATCTGAATCTTCAATAAAATACATTACCTAATTTTGTTACAATTTTTATTTACGAAATACAAAATCTTATTACTTATTATCTATAAAATAGGAGCGAAACATCTCATCCACTAAAATATCGTTGTACAATGTGTTTCCCGTAAATATACTCGTAAAACTATGCAATGAACATCCCTGAAACTTATATAGCAAATACATTAAGCAATATTCGCCACAAACTGAAGTCCACTCATTCTGAATCCTATCAACATTCCAGTTCCATCTTTTACAGTTCCTTTTTAAAAACTCTAGATGATATCGTACAGGTGCTCGTCCGTATGAATCAAAATATTGACCGACGTCATTCGTATCGATATATAAAGCTACCCAATGTGACCCTGGTTTATCATCTGTATCCAAATTGCATATTATATACGTTGGCGCGTGGATGTACATGGGCAGTCTATTGGCAGCATAAACATTATTTTCTAGACTGGGGTGAATCTTTTTCAGATGTTGTTGTACATCTAGTGTATCTATGATATTACTGCTATTAGTAGATTATTACAGTACAATCTACTCAATGACTAACATAAGAATGATCAATTATAGTGATTTCTAAATATTAAATTGCATTATTTTGTGTTATACAAAACGTATTTGAGTCATCAATACACTGAACAAGACGCGACACGAAGTAATATTGAGATAAGCAACAAAATGTGAGATAAGCTTGTTGACGCATAAAGTTACTATCAATTCCACTGCAGAAATTCTTTAGATTAGAATTATTACTTACTGGTACTATATAAGACCAAGCAAGTGCAGTCATGGAGTTAGTGTATAGTCGTTTGACTGCAGTGGATCTATCAATACTACATTTGTGTTACTTAAACGCATCAAAGGCCATGGATGTAAGTGTTTATTTTATTGACAAAGTTACTTTTCTTTCTGTTATTTTCTTACGGGTGTATGATGTAGTGTTAACAAATT